AAGAGATCCTTAATAGTGACCAAGAGTAAATGATCAACAGTAGGTGGTAAGAATGTATATGCAGTGGGGGTAAATATTCTTTCCAGAAAATTCTTTGTGAGTAGCAGTGATGTTAGTTGGTATAATACTCTGGAAGAAAATTTGGCCATATCTTCAAAAGCCTTATATAAGACATGCACTTTTAACCAGTGATTTAATTTTTAGGATGCCTGAAAAGATTGGTAAGCCCAGGTAACCAGTATAGGAAAAAAAATTGAAAATAGTCAAAATATGTACTGAGAAATTAGTTAATTTATGATACATCCATAAAATGGAACTATATGGCCATTAAAGGTGTGTGTTTTGGCAAGAGTTGGCACCTTTTCTGCAAAGGTCCAAATAATTTTATGGTACAGACAGTCTCTGTCATGCCTACTCAATTCTGCTTTTATAGCCACAGACAATATGTAAACCAATGAGCACGACTGTGTTCCAATAAATCTTTATTTATAAAAACAGGTAGCAGACTCGATTTGGTGTATAGGTCATAGTTTGTCTACCCCTGTATTTGAATATCATGTAATTAATTAGAGACAATATGACATTAGTAACATAAGTAATTAATAATATGAGAAATGGGGGCGCCTGGGTGGCTCAGTGGATTAAAGCCTCTGCCTTCGGCTCAGGTCATGATCCCAGGGTCCTGGGATCAAGTCCCGCATCGGGCTCTCTGCTCAGTGGGGAGCCTGCTTCCTCCTCTCTCTCTGCCTGCCTCTCTGCCTACTTGTGTTCTCTGTCTGTCAAATGAATAAATAAATAAATAAAAATCTTTAAAAAAAATAGTATGAGAAATGACAGCTTTAAAATGATACCTACAACATTTCCAATTTTGTGCAAAATAGTATGTTTGTGTATGTGTATGTACACCAATCTTTAAACAGGCCATAATCTTGAGTCTGGGCATCCCAGTGAATTTTATTATCTATTTGGTGCTTATCTGTATTTTCACATTTTCTATAGTAATTATATATTACTTCTTTCTGTAACCGGGGGTAAAAGGGTATTTTTATATGAAATTTTGTAGTGAGAGAAGTGAGATAAAATAAGAAATTGACATGGTTTACTAAGTCATGTTTCCAAGCTAAAAATGTGGCAGGTCTTCATGAGGAATTGGAAAATTCCACTGATACGTAACTTCTGAGTTAATTGTGCATAATCTAAAAGGCCTTTCTTGTAAGTTATGCCTGTTTGGAAATCTGCAGTCATAAAATGACTAATCAGCACTTGCTAAGAGAAGCAAGGTCTGTTTGCAAAGACCATCTTCTTAATAAGGGGAGAAGATGTTGGCTGTGACAGGGCCAGTACAGGTATAACATGGGTGCCCATGAGCCACGCTTCTCCCCACCTACCAAACTCATCCAGCTTCAGTTGTTGTGCTGTCCTGTTTTTCATTCATTTGATATTATTTTCCCAACTTGCTGCCTGACCTGATATCTCTGCATGGACTGTTTCCTCCATGTGGAATAGGATTTTGTCTTGCTTTTGTTGTTCTTTTAAGAAGATATGCATTATTGGGGCACATGGGTAACTCAGTCAGTTAAGCGTCCATCTGTCTCTGTCTCAGGTCACGGTCCCCGACTCCTGGCAGCCTGCTTCTCCCTCTGCCTGCTGCTCCCCCTGCTTGTGCACTCTCTCTCTTTGTCAAATAAATAGATAAAATCTTAAAAAAAATATGTATTATTTGCTACATACAAATGATTAATAGAGGATATATATTAAGGTAAAAAGGATAGTAATATAATGAATGCCCATAAACACAAGAATTAGGTCATTACCAATAGAATGTTTGTCATGTTTCAACCTTCTACCTTAGAAATGGTCACTAACCTTATTATGAGTTCCTTATTGTTTAAAATATATTGTTTTGTTACATTCGCATGTATGATTCAACAATATAGTTTAATTCTGTTGTTTTTTTATCTCTATAAAAACTTAATGTATCGTGGTTAGTTTTTTGGGATTGACCCTTTTAGTTAATACTATATTCTAAAATTTGGGTGTATGTAGTTTAAGATTATACATTTTTACTGCTGTATAAATAGAGCACAGCTGGTTTATCTAGTCTCCTTTTCATGACTATTTAAATGTTTCAAGTTTTCATTACACAAACGTTGCTGCCATGAGCATTCTTATATATATATATATGTGTGTGTGCGTGTGTGTGTGTGTGTGTGTGTGTGTCTTGGGTGTCATCCCATGAATAGTATTACTTGATTGTAAGGTACTTGTTCTTTTAATTTCTTTCATACTATTAGGATTAATGAGATATTCAGTTTATTTTGAATCATTTTCAGTAGATTAAATTTTTCTAGGAATTTGTCCATTTCCAAGTTTCCAAATCTACTGGTGTAAAGTTGTCCATTGTGTTCTTTTGTTATGTTTAACCTTTGCTTTATCTGCTATTGTGTCTTTCTTGTTTTAATATTTTATTGAGGCATAACTGACGTATGATTATACATATTTAAGGTGTCAAATCTGGTGAGGGGGCAGCTGTGGCAATGTCCTTCTCAGATCTCCTAGTGCTAGAAGAGTAATTGGCTAACAGTCCGGACTACACAGCATTTTGGGCCCAGGCCATGCTTTGCACAGGCCATTCCTATCTAGTGACTACAAAGGGCAAGGAACTAAGGGAGGTTCATTCCTTTGAGACACAGGACTCCACTCATGGGCCCAAAGCACTGTGTCAGCCTTGCGAAATATCTTAGAATGACACTCTAGTCCAAGACCTTCCTGTTTTCCATTCTGCTTTCCTTACCCTAAAGTCTCCCATATCTGGTCAGTCCTCCCCTGGGGTCCCATGGCTCTCCCAGCCTCCTCTGACTCCTTCCCCACTTTCCCTCACAGGTTTTCTCCCCAGTAGTCCTCATGTAGCATGATCCTGTCACGGTACCTGCTTCTTGAGGACTGGGCCTAACAGTGTGGTTCTGACCTATGTCAACACTGTGAAACCATTACTGCGGCCAAGATAATGAACCTACGAACCCACCAGCCACCATCATCCTTCCCTCTACCTTGCTTCCACGCAGCCACTGACCTGATTTCGGAAACCATAACTAATTTGCATCCTCCAGTAGTTTATATAAATGAAGCCATAATATGTACCTTTGTCTGGCTTTTGACAAATTCTGTGTAATTATTTTGAGATTCATATATGTTGTCGAATGTAGCAATAGTTAATTCCTTATTATTGTGGAGTGATACCTTGCTGATACCACAATTTAACCATTCATCTCTTGACAGACACTTGAGTTCTTTCCTATTTTCTATAGTACAAATAAAACTCTATGAAAATTCATACAAGCCTTATAAGCCTTTGTACTGTCGTCATCTTTTCTGGACAAATGCCTTGGAGGGAAATGACTGGGTTATGTGATATGTGCATGTTTAACTTTTTCAGAAATGAAAACACTGTTTTTTAAAGTGTTTCTTAATGAGTTTTGTGCCCTCCCTCTTTCATCTTTAACTACTCTAGCCAAATACTTATCTATTTCATTAACCTTTTCAAAAATTTTCTTTTGGTTTTGTTGATTCTTGATGTTTTATACTTCTCTCTAGTATAGATTTGTTTTCTATTTCATTGATCTATTCTCTAGTATTTGTTATCTCTTACCTTAATTTTCTGTCTTTTTTTATTTGCTGATATAAGAAATTGAGACTATAAATTTAAGTACGCTTTCAGAGCCTCCTATATAGTATTTTAATGATTATATATCTCTAGTTATTTTTAATAATCTTACATAACTTTCCAGATTCTGGCCCATCCTGAACCAACCTGCCTAAAACCAACCAAACTATAACTATTATACTTGGGGAGGCAGAAAAGAAATCAGTGTTGATTTCTCAGACCCATTTCCCTGGCTCAACACCATTCACATAATATCAAAACACAGAAACTCATACCAGATATAGCACATCCTGATTTAGTATTATTCATTCTCTTACTGAAAATAGTATATGGACACATAACTGCTTGACTACACACATATATTAGTATCTTTTCTCTACCTTTAAATTATAAGCTTCTTCAAGGTAAATGTAGACTTAACACAGATCTTAAATAAAATAGCTGCTTGGAGAGATGTGCTAGTTGAATTTAATTAGTTAGGGGATTGACTTCTGTACATGCTTTCTGTAGTATAATGTCTCAGCTTACCGCTCCGTTTATTGTTTCCACAAATATTTACTGAGGACCTACTATGTGCTGAGTGATCTCCGAGGCTACTTCATCAAAGTAGAGAGAACTTGTTGGGTAAAAAGGTGCTGCAAAGAGGAAGAGATGGGGCACAGAATAGAACAGGGGTGGTATTTTATGGAGTGGCCCTTAGACAATTTGCTTCTTCGAAAGCAAGCTTCTGGAAGTCTTTACTTTTTTATTCTTGCGTTTATTTTAGTTTTTAGTTTTAGTTTAGGTTTTAGAACTGAATGTGCTGTTTAGGCTTTAGAACTGAATGTGCTGTTAAGCACGGAGTTTTTAGGCCTTTAACAAACACTTTCAGCAAATGGTAAGGAAAGACCTCAAACTTAAAAAAAAATCCCCTACTTCTTTATTCATGTTTCCTTTACATTTTAAACGTAAAATAAATAGATAGCAAAAGCAAAATAGACAGATACAGTCCATATAGTATAGGTGCAAATTAGGTTTCCTTTAAAAAGCCCTCCAGCTTTAATATTTTCAAGAACACCGTTTACTTAACAGACAAGATTATCTGTAATCCTTTTTGGGATCAGCAGCGGGGTCTGGAAATGTTAGCAGATCTGTTTACTCTTAATCACTTTTGCCAAACTCCAAGTCCACTGCCTTGGGTGCTTAACAAGCTGAAGTCCCGGAGAGCCCTTGGGGAGACCCTCTGGAGACATCACAAGACGCAGGGAAGCTCTTCAGGATTCCCGGGCGTGTAAAGGGGCGCAGGCACTAGGACCGCCCCGACGCCGATAGGCAGCCGCGCTTCACAGCGTGTCAGCGGGACTGAACCGCCTTTGCTGTTACACAAGAGAGCCCACAGCAGCAGTAGCAGCTCGGCATCCTTCCCCCTTCTGGCCTGTTGGAAGGTATTTACTTGCTATTTATCATTCAGATTTTGTAGACCGTCAGTGTGCCTTTAGTGTTCACCTAGTCTGATGCTCTGGCAGGCTGTCCAGCACTCGTCGGGTTACTATATGATTTTATGTTAATTTCCACAGCTGATGGAAGCAACAGTGCCATAAAGAAATGGGCTAGATATTTCCAGAGGCTGAAATCTGGAGACATTTGAAGGTGTAAGTACATTGGCCACAGATCTCTAACGCCCTGGCTGTGTTGGTTGTACCTCTTGACCTTCTTCCTCACCGAAAGAGCGCATGTAAAATGCCATCTGCATATTTCATTCATGAAGGAAAAACACCAAGACGGTGACAGAAACCACTAATGATGGCCCTGCAGCTCCACTTTGGAGTGGCTATGGTTCCCCCTCCCAGTCTGTGGGTTTGCAAGAGCAGAAGCTGGATTTGCAACAGAGTTTGGATGGGAAAGAGATTTTGCTCAGGGCTGCAGAAGGCTTGCTGGCTTTCTGCTTTCTGTTTTCAAAGCTCAAAGATTGTCCTTTCTAATCACTGCCGTGGTGCAGTGTAGGAGTCTTTTTATGCTTTATTTCTGCATTCCAAATACTCCTCATAGATGTGGGCTGCCAGAAAGCTGTTACACCATTCTGCACCTCTCAGTATAAAGCCATTGAGGAGAAACTGAGTTTGCTTTTTCTTGGACCATACTCCACTCAATACTACAATTAGTAGATGACACACAGAAACTTAAAAAAAAAATTGACTATCTAAGATTCCCTCTCCTGTTCAACAATACATCTGGTTATGTGTGATAAGGGAGTACTTTGCTACTAGGAAACCCAAATGAATATCACTCTACTGAGAAAATTGGACATTCTCTTTAAGTATCTTACAAATAGTTGAAGATGCTTTTGTAGGGCCTTGATGCCAATTTCATGCATTAAAAGCTTTTTGGAAACTTTAAAGCCTTGTCAAATTGATGTTAGATTATTACCTTAGAAATCAGATCATATGTAGGTGTCTTGTACCAAAATGAAACAGGTAAACGTATTTATGAATGAATAAAATGTTGAGTCATATTAATGGTTAATTCATGGGAAATTTTTAAGATAAACTGTGGTATTAAATTTATTTCAGGAAAGAAAATATCAAACTGAGTCTCACAGCAAGGCATCAATATTGAAAAGGTGACTTTAATGAAAAGCATTTTTAAGAGTTTAAAATACATTTAATAGTTCAATAATTATGTCCTTTAAATGCTTATATTTGACACTTTGAATACCATAAATGAGGTTTAAAATTGTTGAAGTATTAAGCTTTTGAAAATATACCTATAATTCTCCTAAAACTCTTTATTTGGTACAAAAAGAGAGGTACAGAGCATACGAGGGAGGGAGGGATGGAGTCTTATTTTATTGTGCTGTACTTCTTTCTATTTGAACATTCTGATTGAATGTTTACTATATAAATATGCTACCTGTATATTTTTTAATATAACAGAAATTACAAATGGTTGTAGCAATTAATTTGCAATATCCTTAAATGCAAATGACTATAATCATATAAAAGTAACATGTTAATATTGCTCTATAATATTTCTTTAAACAGGGAAAATCTTTTGAAAACAATGTGTTACTTCTAGACAAAGTTAGGGAAATCAAATTGGGGGTGGTAATAGGCTTTCGGTATTTTGTGAAGCAAAGGAAATTTTTTACATTTATTTTTAGTTGGTATAACAAAATACTATATAACTCCATGAACTTTGTGTTAATAAATTTTCTCCTTTTTCCCTTTTAAAATAAAAAAAAAAGTTTCTATATTCTCAGTCTGGAAAGATGACTCAGTTCTTTCAAATTAGAACTTAGTTTTAAAAATTCTTGCCCAACATGTGATTTGCAGCCTTAAACTTTAGTTTTATGTCATACACGTTATTCATACATTATCATAAATAATCTAAAAATAATTTAATTATATGTTGGGTGTAAGATTCATTGAATTCAATAATGATAGGGGGGGAAAAACCAGAGAATAGAGATCTTGTTCAGAATTTGATACTCTTTGCAGAACATGAATTTTGTTTCTGAATTTTTAAGTCCTGAAATTAAGTCCACCAGCGAGACCTGATTTTAGACAAGGGCTCAGTGCTCAGTGGAAGTACAGACTTGCTGGCAAACAAGTGGGGCTTAAGCTGCAGAATAAAATGCAAAAGCTAAAACTAATTTGTTAAAGTGTGAAAGTAGTGATTATCTGGTGATTTTTATCCCAGAGGATAATCTCTTTAGGCCTTGAGAAGTCTGGCTTCCCAGGAGATCCACATGAATATCAACATTATCTAGATTTACTAGATAATAGTGGGGCAGTGAGGTAAATATTTCTAAAAGATTACTTTTAGCGTACAAATTTTTCTTTAAAAGAGGCTCAGCAAATAACAGATCTGGATACACTGATTTTACCCTCCGCAGTGCTTTTTTTCCTAAAGAACATAATAGATTCTGAAACAGGGATTCTCATGCGAAGTGGGTGCATAGTAAGACATTTAAGAAAGAAATGAAAAAAATTAGCTTTTATATGATTAAACTACCCAGAAGGAGCTAATGTAATAGGAGAAGAAGAATGTCAGAGAAACTTGTGTCATTTCAATTTACATTGATTTTAGTTTTCTGCATGGAGTAAGAAAAGATGTCTCCTGGTAGAAGCCACAGAAAATGCAAAAAAATTAGTTGGGGGGTGACTTCTAATGGTCAGCCCTGCGGGAAACACTGAGTGTTAAAGGGTTGAAGAAACAAATGGAAAGAAGCTCTGAAAGGTGATTACAATGTTAACATGAATGTTTACAAACCTGTTGACCACATATACAAGCCACAGTGACTAGGAATTATATGTGACTCGAGAATTTCCTTGACGATTTTCCTTGAAATTCCCTATTTGCCTCTCTAATTGTGATATTTTTTCTTATTAAATGAAAGAGTTAGAAGAAATGGAACAAGAACGTGTTAGTAGCATGTGGGGTCCACCTCACATACGCCTGTGTGAACCAGGAGGGAGGGGACATATTTTGTGGGAGTTTGGCAAAAGGGAGAAGCTACTATCCATATAGTTTTGGGAATAAGCTTTTCTCAGAAGCAAAGGTTTTGTTTCCAAAATTGATTTTACTTATAAAGAACTAAGTTTGTAGGTATAGCAGGAAGCTTTTAAGTAAATGAGAATTAGCCTTTAGGTGTAAAAGACCAATTAGCAAAGTGAAAGGTATACCATGGATTGCTGATAAGCAGTTTTATCCAAAGCATTGTTTCAATTATCCCTCCCAATTCATGCACTTATAACTGATGGGGATGTAGGACACCACTCATACACTCTTGCTTCCTTCCTTATGTCTTTTATTTAATAGGGAAGAAGTTAAAACTTCTTCTTAAGGAAACTTGAGAAATATTAATCATGATTCCGTACATGTTTAAGTAACAAATGAGCTTTGCTATTCCCCTAAATATACTGTAATAATTACAGTTTACATTTTAGAATCGGTATAAGATTTTATGGACACAGCATTTAATATTTTTGGATTATATTTATTTATTAGATATTTGTCAATTCCTCACTGCATGCTGGGTATGAGGTCAGACCTGTAAATAAGTTATGTCCCACCATTCATGGGCTTCATCATCCTGTGGAGAGAAATTGGCCAAAAAAACCAAATATTATAAACCAAATACGTTATTATTAAAATTCTTTTAAAATTATTATAACTTGTGAAAAAGTAAACCAGAATATATCTAATAGGCACTGACTTGAAAATTAGAAGAGAGTATTATGATAAAGAAAGACTTGGTGATTTTTTTAAGATGTGGTTGTCTGGAAAACTCCCTGAAAAACTGGTAGATCATCAGGGATCTGAGTGAAAGAGACAGCCAAGCAAGAAAGAGGGCAGACTTCATGCTGCAATTTAAATCGATTCTAGGTCACTCTTTAAGTCTTGAAAACTTGAGCATTTTACCCCCTTGATAAAACTTCGTAGAGTTTTCAGAAAAATAAGATAACATACATTAAGAGTCCATGACAATATCTGGGGCAAATTGAATTTCCATTATGACTTCTAAAGTGCCATTACAACTTTATGAATTCACTCCTTTAAATACCTAGTCAAATAAACAAGTACTGGACCATTTGATCACTCCTGTGTCCCTTTCCTTAGAGTTTTGTGGTGATTCTATTTACACAGTGGAGGGAGGAAAGATGGTCACTCGCATGGACAGCAGAAAGAGAGAACCTTATTCCCGAATCTTCTAAAGAAACCAAGTCTCAATTAAGAGCTTTGTGAGCTGCAGTTGTGGTACATTTGTGATTGTCTCCTCAGAAACCTCCAACATAGTGGTTGATGGGGATTAATTAAGGTGCTTTTCCTCCCAGGGAATGCTGGAGGGAGAGGACTACCTCCAAGGAGGTTGGCATGGGTCCCCTGGCAGGACTGTGCTTACTGGGCATGGTCTTTAAACACGACTTCTTGAGAAGTTCAGTGGATGAACATAGCACTTGACAGTGAACGGCCCAGGGCCCAGGCTCAAGTTCGAGAAGTGAGTACATTGATGAAGAAGGTGGTTTATTACTACTTGGAGGGACACACGTCTGAACAATTTGGAGTTTTGTCATCTCATCAGCGCACACCTAGAAAATATATACTTGCACACAACCACACGTATTCCAAATATATATCCATATTAGAACACTGATACGTATTTGTATGTTGCAGTATATATATATTATGTGGAAAATTGCTATGCGGTGATTTTTAAGTATTTCCTCCCCTATTGTTATTGACGACACAACTAGGTAGAGTGGCAAAATTGTTCAACAATATTTTCACTGAGTCCTTTCAAAGAAAAACATTAATCCTGGGTGTTATCAGCTAGACATAGGTGAAGCTACTTTATCAGACAGAATCCAAAATAGAAAACTAAACTAAAGGAGAAGCCTGAAAGAGGCTCACACTGAAAAGAAGCATTGTTGGGGGGAGAAGTTCCCTGACATATCAAGATTGGATGCGGCAGCCACAGACAGATCGGCAGGACCAGAAAAAAGCAAAGGCCCTTTCTGAGGGTGAAAAGAAGTCCAGAGGGTCAGGAAAGGAAGTAGAATTCAAGTTCACGAGATCTCGCACTGCTAATATTTAAATCTGTCTGTAGCTCTGTCACGCTCCATTAGTGTGTCCTTGAAAACATAACTTT